GCTCAAGCTTATAAAACAAGGAATGATTTAAAGAATGAGGCCTGCTTTAAAATTTAACTTCAAAAATTTTATAAAAAATATATACTATCAATTTTGGTTTACATTATGGATTTTTAAACAAACAAGTAACCTTTCCGCACCCAAAACCAGACATTAGACATGGTCCAAACTTTCATAAAACTTCTGATCAAGTCAAGGAAATGAATCCCATTTTTTTTATATATTTTTTTTATCATAATGATGTTTTTCCGCATAAACCTTGATCTCTTTTCCCCCGCAAAAACACCAAACCTTAAGTTTTATAGATATTCTTCAAAGATGAGGAGCCACTAAATACGGGATGAGTAATTTTATTTTGTGATTAAACAAAAACTTTCTTTGTGTGTGCAAAGCCTGTCCATAAACCAAGAGACCAGTATGATCAAGGCAGCCGTATGACATAATCTGGGTACAAGTTGTCCATTTTTTATCGAAACTTGCTGAAATATTTAGCTGCGATCCGTCAACAATGGATATCATATGACTCTCTTGGTGGCTTTTAAGTCAAAATTGAAAACTATTTTATGGCCAACGTGATGTTGAAACAAAGACATAAAATTCTAATCATTCTTTCAACAGAGTAGACCATATCTGAGACGCCACCATATCATATGCTGTTTGTTTCTTCAAAAATTCAATTTCATTTTCGGAGATGATGATTTGGAAAGAAAACTGAAATTTTTTAAATGCAATTTATTGACAATAAGTACAATGAGTTTAACGTTTTTTTTCAAATCGTGTACATTTTATAACATACTCTCTTTTGATAAAAGTTCAATCGAAAGATTAAAACATGGTGTCACAGTCTGCATTACAATGAAATTACTTCCGATCGTCACTTCCAAATTTGGGTAGATCTCGTAGCAGATCAATTGGCCAGCTCATGTTTCCTGACAATGTAACAATTTGATCCTTGACAACCTACCTATCTTCCATACCTTCAAAACACTTGGGTGACTAGGACACAACATATATCGAACTGGATGGAAAAGTATGTTCGGTATTTCAAAATAAACACGGCTATTTGCACAATGGCACTGAAAAATCTTGTTCAAATATTTGCCATCATACCCCAGTTTTAACATCCTTTTAAACTCTGAGCGTCTGGGTGAGGAATCGCTATTCAATAGCAATCAATATCGCATCAGACTTGGCTGGATTTAAACTTTTTATGAAAATTGTCTTGTAAGAAAAAAAATTAAAAGGAAAAGAAATCTAATATTACCTTAGTTCTTATGCAAACATCGGACAATAGGGAACAGTTCTGTCCAGTATGTAATTAACACCACACATTCCACAGCTAGCGTAAATTACCAAAATGTTTGATGTCCGTAAATCCTAAATTTCTGACTATATATATATATATCTACAATTTTAATGAGTTATTTTCTAATTACTAATCACTTGTATTTGGGAGAAGATTTATAGGTGTAGTCTGATTCAATTTTATTCGTATATATCACTTATTCAATATAACTTGTTGTAAAATCTACCACACATGTCTGAATCAAATTGCACTAATTCTTGTTGCATTGAAATGAAAAAAAAATCAATCTTTGACAATTTCAACTGATAATGGATCATTTTAGACAAAACATTTTACAAATTGAGTCAGGAAACGATTACAGCGTGCTATACTTGGGAAAATATTTTTTATTTCTAGACACATTTTGGCAAATATAACATCTAGTTTTGATTTTAGAAAAAAAATTGAAACAAATTTTAACCATAATTGCAAATATTATTAAAACATATAACAAAAGCCTTACAAGAATATTACAAATTCTAGCAGCACTTCTGACAACTTCACAATTCTATGCCATCCTTTAGATAGCCATTTATTTATCCTTTTGAAATTAAGTCAGTTAGAAATATAGCTATAAACATAAATTGGCAAAAAATTACAAACACTTATAAAATTTTAGATCTATGCCTTATTTTGAAATGCAAATTAATGCAAATTACTGACAATTTGGTTCGAAATGGCTGCCGACATTTATTGGTATTTACCAGAAAGAATCCACTTTCAATGACCTTTCTGTCTAAATAGCTACCCCACGTCAGTCCGCTGACTTTGGAAACTGAATGTATAAACATTATACCTCGGACAAATACTGCTTTAACTTATTATAGGGTAGCTTGTCGTATTCAAATAAATGTTTAAATACAACTATTTCATTTCAATCAACCTGTTCAATATGGATGGTACAACAGAGAACAGTCCACATATATATATATCAGAATACAATATAACTCAGACAGATCTATTTCAAGTATATTTAGTCTGTAATCTTTTGTACAACAAAAGGGCTTCTGTTTAGGTTTTTAAACATTTTTTTTTTCTTTTCTGTAAATTTTCTATTAACATTTTTTAATAATTTGTTCTTTTTGGAAACTTTCTGTTTAGATATTTTAATAGTATTTTTTTCTTTTTTTGAAATTTAACCTTCATCTCAGTAATGTATAGAATTATATATACATGCACCTAGAAATACACTTAAAATAACAGTTAATCATTTAAAATATGTTACAGTTAATAAACTCATCCTTCAGGGATGGTGAATGAGTTAAATTCACCCCTGATATGGATATACAATGTACATACAAGCTATGTACTATATAACATTGCTAGTAACCTGTCATTTTTAAATTTAAAGGCTTTCAAACTGACCCTACAGTTTTCCTGTTGACTCGAAAGCGTTTGATCACAAGTCATATTGTAAAAAAAATATTTAAATACCTGAATAGGAGTTTTTTTTCATACAAATACAGAAAACAGAGGAATTTTATCTCAAATCTCATATTTGAACATATCAGTATATACAGTACAGTATGTATCTGCACATTTCATATTTTGTTGTGATATCGAGCTGTTAACAGTTTTTAAAAAATACTTCCAGAATTCATTTCCATGGGTTTATTCAAGTTATGGGTTTTTTCAGATACAGTAGAATGTAATTATGTCTAAGTCTTCAAGAAATTATACAAAAAAAAACTATTGAAGATAAACATGGAAATTGACATATTTCATTTAACTCATTCACCCCTGAAATTTCATAATGATCTATACCAACCTTTGAATTGGAGGAGTTCAAATGTGTCTTCAGGGGTGAATGAGTTAAATTAAACCGAAATAAAAGTCTTAATACCAGAAAACGACTAACAAGTGAAATAATTTGACTTAAAGATTCAGTAATAGCATCCCTATGTTAGTGAACCTGTAGTTAAGTTATATAACCTTTAAAAGCTTCCATACTTTTAGACATAGTGTCTGAGTAGGCAATACTTGAGGCTTCGGCCTTATTGATCTACCTGTACAGGTAAAATAGTGAGGCATTAAAGACTTACATACCTACATCCTCAAGGTCTGTGTCTATACAGGTAGGCTTACTTAAAGTAGAAGGTCAAGGTCAAAGCTTCACAAAAATGTAGGTGGTCATTGGGAATATTCCTTTTTTCTTTTTGTCTGCATTTTTTACCACAATACACACCAATATGACTCTTCAAAGGTCAAAGATGAACACACACAGGTCACCAAAGGTCGAATTTAATTTTATTTACTTTGTTTTCATGAAAGAGAAACAAACTCAAAATGTCTCAAGTCATTAAAAACATAGGTAACTAATCAACTGCAAGCTCATATATCAATAAGCTTTAAGGTCAATATGAGGTCATAAAGGTCAATCTAAGGTTAATGAGGTAAATCAGATAACACTTAGGTAAATAAAGTTCAATCAGATATAATTTAGGTCAATCAGAGGTTGTAAAGGTCAATTGAAGTCATAAAGGTCAATTAGATAACACTAAGGTCAATAAGTTCAATAAGATATGATTAAGGTCAATCAGAGGTCATAAAGGTCAATCAGATAAATTTAACATTATTAAGTTCAGTCAGATATGATTCTGGTCAATCAGAGGTCATAATGGTCAACCAAAGGTCATCAAGGTCACTTACAAAATTAGCATTATATATATATATATAATTGTTCTACATAACACGGTTATAACATTAGTATGTGCCAAAATAAAAAGTCAATACTAAAAGGCTAAGATCAACAATGAAAATTCAGCTAAGTCATTCCTAAAACTTCTGTGCTCATGAGTAAATGTGATATTAGTTGTGAGGTTCTCAAACATTGAAAAATCTACATCAGATTATATAACAGTGAAGCCTCACGGTGACTATAGACTTTCTGTAAGATTATATGTGACTACGACTCAGTGGCGCAGACTGTGACAAAGCATCAGTCTCAAGGTCATGTGTCAAGGTCAAAGTCTGTCTAAGTGTGAAAAAGTCATGTGTATGCATATATAGTGTTGTGTGCCTGATCTTCAGTATCAGTCACACAACACAGAAGATATCTAGGGTCCCAGTATAGATTATCTAATCAACAATATCGCCTGTCTCTCATGTAGGTCTTTTAATTAAATACCAGTTATCCATTTCTTATGGGAGGGTTGGGAAATAAAATGTCTGGGTATCCACGGTATGTACCCAAATCAGGATAGACCGACCCAAGTATATACATAATACATTAGTCCCGAAGTCCACACTTACAGCCAATCACCCATCGTACCATTATTATGCAAGCTGCAGTGTAGGGTTATAATTGTATGCCTCCAAATGAAATGTCTGTGATGTGGCAAGGCCACCACATAATACTGTAGTTAATGGGATCAACTTTATGTCCCTAACACTCCAGTAAAACATTTACACTCACATATATCAGTTCCCAGTCCAATCCATCCCATAATGATCACCGTAAATCAGTTACATGATATAGCCAATGAAATTCCCTGTTACTTAAAAATCTAACAAGGCTATATTGCAATGCAATGCATACAAATTAATTGGGCAAGAAAAAATCTTCCAAAGATTGAATTCTGAAAAAGAATGTAAAAGAAATGAAACAAATATTCTATAAAATAAAGGGGGAGATAACTGAACAGATTGTACTCACATTTCTGTCATATAGGTCTTCACTCTCCAAAGCATGCATGACAGCTGCATCAATGTTGCGATCGACACCATTCAGAATTTTTTCGATGTCATTTGTCTGACTCATGCCACCCTCCAATCGAACGCCTCGTCTGATAAGCCCCTCCCATTCTGGGGTAAGGGTAGACAACTGCGCTAAACACCCTCGCATGACATTGAGACAAAACCCGCGACACGGTTTTGCCTCCACGTAACTTTCACAGTGGGAACAGTACTGTAGATGGGTCATCTGATCCTTGCATTTCCCGTTGATGGTCAGGTGATCGGTGGTGTTGATTGCCTCCACGATAAGCGACAGGACTTCCACGTAGGACTTTGCTACATTTAGAGCCTTACTTAACTTGTAAGAAATCGTGGACGGCAGAACGCCGAAGGGTGACGGTGATATTTCCTGACGTTTGTGTCTAAGGCAATTGTGGTGTTCCTGTGAAAGAACCGTCACTGTTCCATCGTTCAGCGTGTTTTTGTAAACTGCTGGGAATATTTTGTCAAAAAACACGGCGACACCGCCGCGCAATGTCATGTGTTTCTTGTGTTTTAGGTACTGTCGGATTTCACCGTAGAACTCTTGAACTATTGCTTGGTGCTCGACCCGCGGAATATTGTAGATGTCTGTCAGGATACGTATCGTACTGTTCTCTGACATCTGCACTAAATTTGCTATTCGCTCTGAAAAATATGAAATAATGTTGAAGTAAGTTACAGGTTATGTGAATTTGCGTAACAATAAAATAATAATTAAAACAAGAGGCCCATGGGCCTTAACGGTCACCTGATATATTTATACAGAGAGTTGATTTTGTTTTTAACATGAACAGAAATATTATTCAAAGTGACAAAAAACAATAAAACCACCTTACTCAATATCTAGCATACAGATTTCAGACTAAAAAGGATTTGAAACTAGCACCTACAGCCCTTGGGGGTAGGGCTGGCTCAAAATTTTCAAAGTATCAAACTGTCAATTCAAGGTTATAATTCCAGTGGGGAAAAAAACGGAATACAATATTTGAAATTATTAAATTAGAACCAATTGGCTACAAGAGATAATGACTTTATATCTACATTATTTGAAATGAAATCAAGACAAATCATATGTGTACTTATTTTCACCCCAATATGCATGAAGTCACTTTAGACAAGTTTCCACAAGAGAGATGGTCACTATAGACAGGTGATCACAAGTTATGTGGTCAATATAGACTACTATATACTTCTGTAGTGATTGGACAAATTCAGTCACATGACCCAATATCATATTCTAGCGTTTGACTGGCAGGTTATTTTTTAGATAAATTGGGATAAAAGTGTCATGGAGTTTTTCAACTTCTTATTGTTAAAAATAAAATTTTGTTTTTATAAAAGAGTATCAGGTCAATTTGGTGAAATTGGGGCCCCACTAAACTCTCTACGCCTTTGTGGCCTGACCTAAATTAAAGTCAGGTCACCTTAAATAGCTGGTATCACGGGTCTTCATTTCACAATATTGACCGACACCGGACTAATTAATTGAATTGTAAGTCACAAGAGATGAAGTCAATACAGATCTAACAGATGTTTCCTTTGTACAAATCTAGGTAAATAACTTAACGCAAAAACTGACTCGCTTCAAGGTAATCTTCCATTGTTTCTTTAGAATTGTAGACTGATTTTACAGCTGACGCTGATGCACTGGTATCTATGTTCATTTAAATCTATTTCGTTCATTTTCATTTTTATATGCCTAATAGGAAAAATAAAAACATATCCCAATTAAAATATTTAAAACTTTAACCTTACACATATTAGGCATGGACAATTTTAATGTCGAAACCCATATCAATTAAAAGACAAGAGATTTTAAAGCCTTTCAAAAATAATTTGCTCCAGGGAAATTGAAGTGGGCAGATAATAGAAATAATACCTATATATTGTATTAGAAGAAATGGCGTGCCATGGTTACGCCCCCTACAATCATAAATTACCTTTTCGTTTAACAAAACATTGTAATTAGCATTCTTTGGGCCTATACCATTTCAGTGGAAGTAATTTCGTCAAGTGTAGTTCAGATGTAATTTGGGGGGTTTCTTTTGCTAAGGTACTTTTCGGCATTACATGCCTGATAAACATCTCGTAGATAAAGGACTTATTTTACCCGCAGAACTGTCTACGCTCATGCAGCTCTGATCTAAACACATTTTCTGTACACAGTTCTTAGGTATATGTCCTGTTTCAAAAACCTATTCAATTTTATTTAACGCATCTTTGACTTCAAACAACACATCCTCACAAGTTTGGAAGTTGGCCATTTTTTGGGGGGAACATTTTACAAGCCTGCACTCCGACCGGACAATTATCATTTACCAGAAGCTATCCATGCAATATCTTTCTGGCATGCTGGGTATATCAGAAATGACGCGGCACAAAGAACGAACGGAGATGACCTTGTAGTCTTTGTGACGCGTGAATCCGTACAGATATTGTCAATAACTTTACACCAAACTGGAATCAGAATTATGCAACAATGCGTCTAAACTGAGGCAGAAATTCTTAACCAATTGCGCAGCAATAAAATAAAAATGATAAAATAAAAAAACACTATGGTATGCACAGATTAACTCAAAATACATAAGACATGTCACTGTGCTGCTGTACACATGTACACTATTCAGTTCTTTGAGGCGTGATACCACACAGCGGAAGAGATCATGATAAGTCGTTTGGAGGGAGATATACAGATCTATGAACATTGCCTTTGTCTATTTTTATACCTTGAAATTCAATATTTTTTAGTTTTTGTTTTCCAGCTTTTGTAACAATGCGGATTGTGTTATTATATTAATGAGCCCATCACTGCTTCAAAAGTTTGAAGCAAAACTGTTCTACTTCAAATCACCTACAAGTTTATTACCAGTGGTAAAACATTTAAACATTTTCTTGATGAAATTTTTTTGGCTTCGATGTAACATTCCTGATAGGATACACATTTTCAAAGCTTATGAGGTAAGATTAAAAACAAAATCACTTGATAATTACAGCAAGGTTACATCACCGGCTGGTCCCAAAGGTTTGCAACAAATCACGACAATCTACCTCAACACTTGTTCTCTATGGACAATACATTTATCACAAACTTTAATGTGACCCTGGTCTGACTTGATGTTACATGCAATCAAATTTTGCTTGAGAGAAATGTATCAGTGGGAAATGGGAAAAAATACATTGACCCTTTTTTCACGAGACTCCTTGCACATTTCAAATGAAAATGTCTGGGCCGGTGTGAATTAAAGAAATACCAGATCAGCTCTACATGTTAGATACGGCAATGTTTTAATCAAACCTTTCCTCTCTTTTGTCGCCGACATTTAGACCCTTGTACACTCACGATCTGACGCAGAAATAGGAGTCAATTACAGGCCCTAATCCAATCATTTTATCATCTATATTCTATTGAACAAATTTTCAGCATCTTACTTTTTTTTCCAATCGCAATCTGAATTGACATGCTTTTAATGAAAACATTTTATTTTTTTATTTTGTTATCATTGTGTTCTGTCCCAGACATTCCATGCAAAATTGTTAGTTTCAAGGTCAAACTTTGAAACAGACATTGATATAACAGTCCCCGATGTCAATAGTTGTTGTAAATGACAATAAATTGTTGCTAGGATGAGGTACACTGGATTGGCAGGGAAAGATGGACAATGTGTGTCGGGGTGAGAGGTGAGAGGTGAGGGGGAGGGGGGAGGGGGTTGTCATTAGAAACCACAAAGAAGTCTGAAGCTCTATGAAGTATCAAAAGACATATTCTAGAGAGGTAAAGGGGATTGTTTGAGAGAATGACAAACTGGGTTAGGAGGAAAGGATGGGGTGGGTGGAGGGCTGAGGAGTTAGGGGGCTAGTTTATCTGAAACAGGTTAAGTAAACAATTGACACATAGAAATTATTGACTTAAAAAAATGTCTGACTGTCCACAATATCATATAATTTCCTCATCTTACATATTTACCCCAGAGCTAACATTACTCATATTTCTGCTTTTTCTAAACCTTGTCAGCCAATCTGATCCTTATCATAACAAAATTACTATAGAATCTTTCCACTTCTAAAACTATATATATATATATTCATATTTGTATCAAATTTTGATGGCTATTTTCTATGCTTGGTATATATGTGTTTACAAGTTCAGCCATCAATCTCTTGTCACTGCAGACAAAGTGATTATTGTTATTTTATAATGGCTCACAACTATCTTCAACGAGTAGACAATGTTTATCATTCATTACACAAAAACACACCGATACAACTCCCGATAGCTACCGTTCATCCTGCTCATCTGTAGTTGTCTCCACTTTGTTTGTTTTCATACCACCAGGATCTGACATGTTTTACATGGCGGACAATATGTTAGATGTTATCAAAAATGAACAGCTCTCCAGTCTTTGATCATCGGTAAGCTAACAGCTATAATTTAACATTCAAACATGACCTTTTTTGACCCAGAGGGAGATAGGATCAGGATGATAGGGAAACAGAGTAAGGGGTAATCAACTGTGACCTCCCCTCTCACACACGGTTTACAGCGGTTTACAGCACTGGCTAGCAATGACCCTCCTACTCCTGTCGGGGGGGGGGGGGGGGGGGGGGGGGGAGCTTTGCTCACTCCCTCGCATATAAAAATGATGTCACACAGGAAATGACATGTGATTGACCGTTAAATGCACTTCCTAAAGCTATCACCCAAACAATTTGTAACTGAATCAAAACAAATTTTGTTTTCAAAAGATTTTTGCTACCTCCTAAAACATCACAATGACGTTTGAAATTCACTCTCCGCGACAGGCCGACACAAAAATTGTTCAAAACTAGATTGTAATTGACGTCCCGAAAATGTCACAGAACATATTCTGTTTCACCTCATTTCTGCTATTGAAAATAAACAAGAGGCCCAATGGGACTGAATCGCTCACCTGGTATTAATCTCACACTTGTAATCTTAGAAGTGGACTAAAATACAGCTACAGGCAGAATATCAGTGTTTGATTCATAAGAACCTATTAAAAGATTTAAACATATGACGCCTGTGACCTTGAATGTCGAACAAGGACATTAGGTTGAACAGAATTTAAAGTCTTCCAACCCAGCATGCTTTTGGCAAAATATCATAACCCTGGACCTGTTGGTTATACAGAACAAGTCATTTAAAGATTTANGTTTAAAGGTTTTAAACATATTTGACCCCTGTGACCTTGAATATATGTAAAGGTCATTCATTTGAACAAACTTGATAGCCCTTTATCCCAGCATGTTACTGGCCAAATATCATTATCCTAGGCCTCTTGGTTATTCAGAAGAAGTTGTACATATATAAAAGTTTGAACATATTTGACCCCTGTGACCTTGAATATAAGTCAAGGTCATTCATTTGAACAAACTTGGTATAACTTCATCCCAGCATGCTACTGGCCAAATATCATTATCCTAAGCCTCTTGGTTATTCAGAAGAAGTTGTTTAAAGGTTTTAAACATATTTGACCCCTGTGACCTTGAATATGCATATAGCCCTTCATCACAGCATGTTACTGGTTAAATAGCATCATCCTAGGCCTCTAAGTGAGCTTATGCCATGGTGCAGCTTCCGGCGTCAATAATACATATGGATTCTGACCCGAAGAAGGCCACTCGTC